GCATGCAAAAAATCTTTCAAACATGTGCTTATATTTTTACATTTTCACAAAGGTACAGTACACAATTCACTGCAGAAAGCAGGGTTGTCTTCAAGATGCATGATCTTCTCAAAAAAAACTTGTTCAAGATACAGCAGTCTTTTCGGGAAGCACATTTTTCAAGTTTCAGTTGCGCTTTCATCCACAAGTGTACTGATTCCCTGCAAGTGTGTTACTTTTTTCAACAAGGCAACGCTTTTAAGGCAAAATATAGATGATGCCTGGAAAAGGTCTAGATTCAATCGTAGTTAAACCATCTTTTGAAGAAGTGCAGTGCATGTTCAATCTGGACATGTTCTTTTTTGAAAAGCACTCATGAACAGCATGAAAGGATGCAGAACACTTTTCAGAAAATGCAGAATTTGCAGCTGGAAATTGCACTCATGTGTGTTCAATATCAAATACATATTTATCGAGAAACATAAACTATTGTAAAAAAACAATAAATTTGTCAAATAGTGTGTGTGTGTATATTTATATACATACATACATACATACATGCATGCATGCATACATACATACATACATAGATACATAGATACATAGATAGATAGATAGATAGATAGATACATACATACATACATACTTGAGAGGGGGAACACGAAAGGTAGGTAAGCAAGAAAGGAACCGAAGAAAAAATGAAGGGGAGAGGGGAGGGAAAAATACATAAAGTGGAGTCTGGTAAAAGCGACGCGGCCATTTTCTTTCCAAAAATATGAAGGGGAGTCTGGTAAAAGCGACTGAAAGGCTTCGGCGATGTGGTTGGGGTTAGTGGTGGTTGTGGTGTTGGTGGTGTTGCTGGTGCTGGTAGTGTTGGTGTTGTTAGTGTTGTTAGTGTTGTTGGTATTGGTGTTGTTGGTGTTGTTGGTGGTGGTAGTGTTTCTGGTGTTATTAGTGTTGTTAGTGTTGTTAGTGTTGTTGGTGTGGTTGGGTTTGGTGGTGTTGGTGTTGTTGGTGGTGTTGTTGGTGTTGGTATTGTTCGTGTTCGTGTTCGTGTTCGTGTTCGTGTTCGTGTTCGTGTTGTTGTTGTTGTTGTTGCTGTTGTTGTTGCTGTTGCTGTTGTTGCTGTTGTTGCTGTTGTTGTGGTGTGTATGCTATGGTGTGTTGTTTTGATGTTTATGTTGTGTGTTGTGTGTGTGTTTGTTTTTGTGTGTCTTTATGTGTGATTTGTTGTTGTGGATTGATTGTGGTGAGTTGTTTGTTTGTTATTGTGTGATGGTCGGTCATATATGTGCTGATATGTTGCTGATGTTGTGGCTGTGAGAATGTTTAGAAATGATGTACTGTTGTGGTGGTTATGTTGTATGTGTAGAATAAGAAACGGGATGTTGTAGCATGTTGTTTTGGTGTAATGGTCTTGTGTGATGTTGTGTGTTGTTGTGTGTTGTTGTGTGTTGTTGTGTGTTGTTGTGTGTTGTTGTGTGTTGTTGTGTGTTGTTGTGTGTTGTGGTGTGTTGTTGTGTGTTGTGGTGTGTTGTTGTGTGTTGTTGTGTGTTGTTGTGTGTTGTTGTGTGTTGTTGTGTGTGTTGTGGTGTGTTGTGGTGTGTTGTGGTGTGTTGTTGTGTGTTGTTGTGTGTTGTTTGTGTTGTTGTGTGTGTTGTTGTGTGTTGTTGTGTGTTGTTGTGTGTTGTTGTGTGTTGTTGTGTGTTGTTGTGTGTTGTTGTGTGTTGTTGTGTGTTGTTGTGCGTTGTTGTGTGTTGTTGTGTGTTGTTGTGTGTTGTTGTGTGTTGTTGTGTGTTGTTGTGTGTTGTTGTGTGTTGTTGTGTCTTGTTGTGTGTTGTTGTGTGTTGTTGTGTGTTGTTGTGTGCTGTTGTGTGTTGTTGTGTGTTGTTGTGTGTTGTTGTGTGTTGTTGTGTGTTGTTGTGTGTTGTTGTGTGTGTTGTGTGTGTTGTGTGTTGTGTGTGTGTGTTGTGTGTTGTGTGTGTTGTGTGTTGTGCGTTGTGCGTTGTGCGTTGTGCGTTGTGCATTGTGCGTTGTGCGTTGTGCGTTGTGTGTTGGTGTTGTTGTTGTTGTTGTCGTCGTTGTTGTTGTTGCTGTTGCTGTTGGTGTTGTTGTTGTTGGTGTTGGTGTTACCCCTGCAGCGTTTTTGCTCGGTTCCGTAGTGGCCGAAAATCGTCAAATCGGTTGTGTTTTCGCGTGTTTTTGCAACTCTCGGAGCAAAAAACACCGTAAATACCGATGTTTTTGGCGGGTCGGAAGCCCAAAACCACAGTATTTACGATGTTTTTTGCCTCTGGTAGTAAAAAGCACGGTATTTACAGTGTTTTTTTGCCAGCACCTAGCAAAAACACTGGTATTTACGGAGGTTTCACCATGTAGCAAAATGTGGTTTCTTGATCCGAAAAGAACAAAAATACTGTAAATTACAATGTTTTGAATCTGCTCTTAGGGTGCGTGGGAGGTGTGGAGGGGGGGGGGGGGGGGTGGGGGGGGGGGGGGAGGGGGGGGGGGGGGTGGGGTGTGTGGTTAGACTAAAATGACTAGCATCTCCTGAAGACCTGTTCCCGTTGGCTGGCCGCCCTCCCCCTTTACTTCGTAAGTAAACTCAAGGTAGCCCTCTGGAGCTACGCTTCGTGACATACATACATACATACATACGCTCATACATAACCATACATACATCTACAGTTCACATTAACATACATACATTACATACATACATTACATAATACATACCTACATACATACATCCATACATACCATACATACATACATACATTACATACATTACATACATACATTACATACATTACATACATACATACATACATTACATACTAACATACATACATTACATACATACATTACATACATACATTACATACATACATTACATACATACATTACATACATACATTACATACATACATTACATACATACATTACATACATACATACATACATACATACATACATACATACATACATACATACATACATACATACATACATACATACATACATACATACATTACATACATTACATACATACATACATTACATACAATACATACATACATACATACATACATACATACATTCCATACATTACATACATTACATACATTACATACATTACATACATTACATACATTACATACATTACATACATTACATACATTACATACATTACATACATTACATACATTACATACATTACATACATTACATACATTACATACATTACATACATTACATACATTACATACATTACATACATTACATACATTACATACATTACATACATTACATACATTACATACATACATACATTACATACATACATACATACATTACATATTACATTATTACATACATTACATACATTACATACATACATACATACATACATACATACATACATACATTACATACATTACATACATTACATACATTACATACATACATACATTACATACATTACATACATTACATACATTACATACATTACATACATTACATACATACATACATACATACATACATACATACATACATACATACATTACATACATACATACATACATTACATACATACATACATACATACATACATTACATACATACATACATACATACATACATACATACATACATACATACATACATACATACATACATACATACATACATACATACATACATACATACATACATACATACATACATACATACATACATACATAACATAACATAACATACATAACATTACATAACATTACATAACATTACATAACATTACATTACATTACATTACATACATACATACATATGGTAATATGTACAACAATAAAATGCAGAATTCATTGCAGGCATCAAAATCATTGTATATAGACATGTGTTCTTTTCCAAAGTGCTAAACAAAAAATAAAGCATTCTTGGAAAGAGACAACATCTCTGTAGAAAATGTAGTATTCTGGACAGTCGTGATTTGTGGCTTCATGTGCAAACCATTTCCATATCTCAAAAAAAAACTGCAAAATCAATACTTTCACCACTCCACCCCCCACGGTAGTCCGCTCTCTGTCTCAAGCAATATCTATCCTAAATAATATAGGAGTTTTAGTACTTACAATTAAAGACTCGATTATTCATTTTATCTAAGAAAGGTAATAAAAGTAAAATTTAGGTTGATCGCACAAGATATTTTTTTACAAGACTGCTTAGTGCGTTGCTCTGCCATAATAATCTACCTATCAATGATTACTTTTCATAACTTTTATACACTGTCTTATGACTATAAAGATAAGATAAAATAAGACAAAATAAGATAAGCGAACATATTGCATCATAGGTTTTGAATAGTTTTGACCCATCCCCACATGTCAAAACTCCAGAGATTTACTTTAAATCCTCCAATTTGCCAGGCCGCTGTGATGCTTTCCTCACAGCACCAAATCCGCGTGAACGGAGGGCGCTGTTGTTGCGCGCCTCCAAAGTCCACAATCACCGCCCACCGACAGTCTCATGGCACGATAGAAGGACGTCGAGTTCAAGGCTTGTCGGATATTTTATCCTGCAGGGAATGCTGCAAACTGTGATCCAACCAGAAAAAGCAAACCATCGTATAAAATGTATCAAATCGCAGCTGAAACAAGAGTTGGTGATTTTGAGGAATCCCAACTCATTGCCGATGGATGCCAATGGCATGTATTAATCAGTGCTCAGAACCTAGACGCTATATCTGGTTTGAAAGCACACGTTTGAAGGGGCATTCAGCTGAAACATCCCACAGTGGATCACGACGTTTTGAAAGACCCCACGATTTATCACGTGTTTCACCTGTGGGACCCTCTGGGACCAGTGTTTGACAACATGCTCGAAGGACAAGTGCCAAAGCTCCTCATTTTCCTTCGCCTCCAAGGTCGTCAGTACTTGTCGCAGCTTTGCTAGCGACCCGCACGACTTTAAAACGATGGACATGCAATCGTTTTTAAAGTCACTTATGTAGACAGCGCCTATCAAGCATCCCCTTGGCTCTCAGATGGCATAGAAGACCATGATTTAGCCTTGTCCCCAAACGATTTGCCTGTGTCCTCTGACTTCTTGGTCCTTTGAGTCCTTAGTGTTTATCTATTTTCAGAGCCGCAACTGGAGGGATTCAATGGCTGCTTGCGTACCTTTCCACGTGTGTCAAACTGCGTATTAAGAACAAACCAAGCAACGGTTTCGTATCTTCAAGTTCCAATCCTGCACTATCGACACGGCGATGTTTTGCCCACTCCTGTAGCAACTTTTTTTTGGAGTCCTCAGTGTTCACAGGACAATGTTGCAGAGCAAACATCAGAAGACCAATGCCCTTTCAAAAGGGAAATACACTTGCACAGGGCTACCCTCACGCTTTCGAATTTATTTGAATTTGGGTAGCAGCAGCACAATTCGGAACTTGGTGTTTTGATACTCTTGTCAAGTTTCCGGCGATAACAAATGGGTTATATTCCAATGGCATGGCTGCACTCTCACACACACACAGTGCAATAAAATAAGGAAACTGCCACCTAAGTATACCTAAGTAAGATTTTGACAGTAAACCTGTGAGCTGGCTGACTGCTTCGCTGCCAAAGGACTTCATTTGCAATGCTGCGTTTCAACTTCAAGGTCTTCAACCGTGGACACTGTTTCATAAAGGTCGTCAATTTACTCACTCCATCCTGGCGCGGGCCCCCCTGAATGGAACCGCCATTCACCCCAGGTGCAAGGGGGGTAAATGGATGCAAATGGGGTAAATTTAGTAACTATAGGCATCATTCTTGCTTCGAACGGTTTCAACAGCACGGGAAAACGCATCAAATAGTTTGTTGTTTGTTCAAAGCACGTTTGGAGGGTGAGAAAGTTACGGCGCGTTTCTTCAAGTTTGACACGTGGCGTTCCGCAGGTCTATTCCCGCTTCGAAGGGGTTTCAATGCCTGAGAACACTCGAATCTGTTGCTTTGTCATTTTTTTGATCGAAACCATTCAAAAGATCGAAAACGTGTGGAGAACGTTTTTTTTTGGCATCTTTACGGTTTCACACAGGAGGTTTGGCATCAAGCCTGCTTCGAGGGGTGCTGAACACATTGAAAATGTGGCTTTGGTTTCAAAGCCTGGAAGCCCTCTGTGGGTTTAGCGTGTGGGAATTCTCCATCTCCATGGCATGTGGAAAATATTGTTGGCAGTACAGTAAATATTAATAATTAAAGATAATTAAAGTTTCAAAATAGAGCTATTATAACCTGTTTCGAAAGGTGTTGAAAACAGTTTTTGGCGGCTTTGGTGCAGAGAGAGCTTCTGTGGTTTTGGCCGTTTTTTGTCGCAAACATGTGGGGATGTTGATGTTTATTGATTTCTTCTGTATAGGTCTATAAGATAGACGTTAGGCAATGTTAGGCGTTAGCATCATTCCTGCTTCGAAGAGTTCTGAAATTTGGAAGAGATTGGAAAGCGCACACCAACGTGGCTTCTTGCGGTTTTGGTCGCAAGGCTCGAAACCCTCCATGGTTTTCACATGTTTTCACCCTTCTTGTTCCGGAACTGCAACCCTAAGGGTCAAAAAGTCTAAGGAGCTATGGCAGCTATGGTATGTGACAATGCCTTAGAACCTTTTCCCAAAAGGCATTGCCAGCGAGTGGTGCCACCAAAAAATCCACGACGGGCCTGCGTCTCGCAGAGGCCCCGGTTGTCATTGAGGTTCAAATATGTCAAACCGAGTTCCTTTTTGAGTTTGGGAAAGAGTTCCTCCACAAAAATCTTCTCTGTGAGGCCACAATAGTTCACATTTGCTCCTGGACTAGGCAGGGCTGCGGATGTATGGATTCTTGGATTGATTATAAAATGGACACCGGTGGAACACCATTTCACTAAAAGTTTGGTGCGCTGTGCCACAGCCCAAGGAACCGGATCATCGGAGTCTTTAGCTGCGTACTGTACATGTCTGTCTAAACTCTAAACCGGTAAAATAAACATATGGTTTTGGAAATAAAGGCCGTGGTGATCGCAAAAAATCCAAGCATAGCTGAGCTTCCACCAACGTGATTGAGAAGTATGGCCACCATGCTCCATTTCTTTGACTGGACAATCCCTTTCTCCATATTGTGATGGTCATCGTCGTCGATAAAGACATCTGCCTCTTCAGAAAACGTCCTAAGGAGTTCTTCTTCATCCTGCTCGAGGAGTCCTTAGAGAAGTGGAGAAAGGGTTGGGAAAACATGTCTCCGCCGATCCAGACCGATCTAGACTATTCTAGTTGGCTCACAGCAGCTTCTTTGCCGATTCTTGATCCTGCTTCACTCTTTGATCTCTTTGCTTTGCTCCCTTTCCGGGTTCCCCTGCTCTTAAATATTGCCGCTTGCTCCTTGTAGAGCGTGTTGCTGTGGAATACAGGTCTACTCGTGCTCTTTGACGGTAGCGTTCCTACCTGAAGTCGGGATGGGATTCCCCGCTGGAACAAAATCGCTTTCCAATTGACATGCGAACAGTCAAGCACACACATCAAACGCAACAACTGCAAACCGCACTATTTACTGTACTCGGTTCTTTCTTTACTTCTCTCTATCTCATTATCACCGCAAGTACAGAAACTTTAGGTAAAACTCCTTCCTCACCCTCCATGCTCGACTCAGAATCTCTCAGCTCGAAAGTGCCACGCTTTGAGGACAAACAGAACTCAGGGATGACAAAATCCACAATGTTGTGGGCTTTTGTTTTGCATGGGCTGCCAAGAGCCCACCCGAGAGAGACAGTAGGAGACTGTACGACAGAGTTGTTCTTCAGCCAAGATCAAGAATCAGCGACCGGTTCATTGAGAAGCGAGAATGCCTGCTGATGTGAGTCATGTTGTGTTCCCTAGACAGCGTAAACTTCCTCACAGATTTAAAAACATCATTGTCTCATCAATACATGATTCACATTGGGGAAAGGCATCTGGTTACTTGTCTGAGTACACTCCATGGGCATTCTTCATGATCGACGTCATCAGTGAGCATGGCTTTGTTCCTGGTGTGTTTGATGTAGGTCAGAGCTTTGGGCTGTTAATTGAAAGGTTCAAGTGCTATTGGAAACATTTCTTGCGACCAGCTTTCCCAACACTTGAAGATGACTACAACGCGGCCAAGCACTGCACGTGCTTTGGCCTATCTACATTGTCAGCCTTTCCTTTGCACTTGAAACTTCGAAACCCCAAAGCACTTTGGTACTTTGGTCAATTTTGATTCAGGCTTCTCTTTATTGTAATAAGGAATCCACTGGCTTCCGGAATTATAGATCCCATTGGGTCCCTGATTGGAATCTGGTTTGATATCCTGCGATATGTTCTGCCATCAAATGCATGTCTCTTAGAGTTCGTTATTGCCATCGGCTTTGAGATGCTTGCCTGCAAGGTATACAAGAGAGGGAAAAAATTGAGAAGCGAGAATGTGCGAGCTGAAGCTATTTGGCGACGAATGCACCATTAAGCAACGAACTGGACAGATTCCAAGCTGTGCCAGCAGTTTGATAGCGAATTAGTTTCAAAGAATAGAGAATTGCAGCAGCATAGACCTCAGATAGCAGTTCTCAAACAACCGAGTTCGGCTCTGGTTTGACCATATGCGCACAGTCACAAAGGGAAACTATACAGACTATACAGAGAGACAGGCTGGAAGCGGCAAGCAAGAGAGCACAAAAGCGCTCAAAAGGGGCAATAACGAAGAGAGACAGTAGTGGGAGGCAAGGCACTTTGTGCTCTAGTTACCATCAAAAATCAGCACCGATTTATTGAAAAGTAAGAGCCTTTGTAGCCGCAGCCTTCCAGAGATATATACCAATTCTGATACATGCGGGTTCCAGACCAATAAACAACTGAACGCTCCGTACTCCGGGAAGTAAAAACATTCACAAACCTGTGGAAAAATGAAATCGTTTACTGAGAGACCTACAGGTCGATGCCGTCACAAATGGGCATTGAGAAAAGCTGGGTCCAAATCTTAAGTTGACTTTCAGACCCATGGGAACATTGTATCTCAAACGAGTTCGAACGCCTTGCTCCTTGCAACAACACGCTAACCCTGTGCTACCTCTCAGCGTTTAACCCCGTAACACTGCTAAACTTAGGCCTTCTGACCTCATGGCGATCATCATGTCTTGGAAATAACAAAGATTGGGCAACTTAGCTACTCACGCTTGGCACTGAGCTGGCAGACCGTGAAATGCCGTGAACACTGAAGTCAAGTCAGAGACAGCACCATCTACCCTCTGGTAATTTAACATAGCGATTGAAAATTGCCCATTTAGTTCGTTGATTTCGTGTTTTTAAAGATGGTGATTTTCCATAGCTTTTTGTATATCAGAGGCTACCATCAATAGATGATCACATCACCATTGCGCCTCGACCCTGATTTCCTGGCCAAGCTCTTGGGCAGCGACCTTGCGCTCCTTGTGGTCAAGGCCTGCGACTTGCAGCAGCTAACTATGCTTCGGAAACATTCAACGCATGCTTCGGGAAGGGGGACATGCTTCGGAAACTATAATGAAGATGCTTCTGAAACTATCGGGAGTGGCTCTGTAAGCACAGAATATCATGTCCATGAGACCATCTGCATTTTGAATGTCAAGTCTGTTGCATCAAAATAACATGTGTAATCTTGTGCAGTTGTCAAATAGTTCAACGTATTGTTTGTAGGGGAGAAGAGGGAAATTGGAAAAAAACTAAACATGTCATGTTTTTCATATTGCGGAATTGGTGGCCAAAACACAAGTGAAAAAGCAAGTGCATGCAAGTTCCCAAGTGCTACTTTTACACTGCTGACAGATGTCGCTGTGCTTGAGCCATCCAGCATGGATGGGCAAAATGAAAGGGCCATGAGATGACATGCGGCAGGATGGATTTCATCTACAATGCACCATGTTGTCACTGTTTTCACATTCGTTATCTTTCTTTGGAGTTAAATCCATCCATTCGCCTGCCATCACATGGGTAAGCGTCTTTGGCTTCATGCTCTTCGTGAGACTATCTGCCGCCATCTTCTCCGTGTTCACCCAAGCCAGGGTCGTAGTTCCATTGGCAGGCAGATGGTCCGTCAGCAAAGGGTCGCCGACTTCTTCTCCTTGAAGCCTTGCCTCACTCCACTCAGGTCGATCGCCAGCCTTTTGTCTCCGACAGTGTGAAGACCTGTTTGGTTCACACTCTCCTCCAAGCTCCGGCAGTCCGTGAAGAGCTGGATGTTCCTGCCATCCATCGCATCGATTTGCCATTGTCGTCCGTCTCGTCCTTGTGGATGACATAGTCCATGAATCATCATCCTCACATGTTCTGCCTCCTCCAGACCTGAGATCAGGGACATAGCTTCTGCCTGAAGCGTTGAGCGGCACACGCGCTTGATAGTGACGCTGTGCCAATCCAGTAGCAGCAACTGTCCCTGCTTCGTCTCTTTGAACTCAGGAGGTCCAAGACATAAAAGTCTTCCGCTCTGGCTGCGGAATCCCAGCTTCTTGCCCTCGGAGTTCACGTCGTGGTCGTTGGCAAAGCTTGAATCTTGTAATCCAATGATCACCGCATCCTCGAAGCGAAATGCTCGAAGAGGGTAATGGATTCCTGCGGTCTTGGTCTTGTGGGCGATGGCAATGACCGTGTTGGCATAGCGGATGTCCTCGAAGGTGGCAGTGTGCACGTTGGACTGAAGCTTGCTCACCGCGTAGGCCAAGTCGGGTCGGCATACGCGTGCCAGCCATGCCAGAGATCCAATGATACTCCTCAGTTGTTGTCGATGCACCTCCGTGATCTTTGCCTCCTTCTTCTTGCGCTCCTCAGTCGTCAGGTAGATGGGCCGAACGCGGTCGATCAAGTTCGGGCACGTGATGTGGATTCCATCCTTGTCCTTGACGACGTCACGTCCACAGTACTTGAAGACGTTCTTCTCCACCTTGCCAAACTTATACACATCGCAAACTTCTTGCACTCTTCTCCCCACCTCGGCTCCTCCGGTCCATAGCAAATCATCCACGTGAACAATTGCTAAACCCTCCAGCTCGCCCTTGTCGTTCACCAGGCTGTAGGCTGCAGCTTCATGTGGAACTGCTTTGAAGCCTTTCTGAATCATCGTCTGATGAAGGTTCTTGTACCAGCCTCTGGGCGCATCCTTGGTTCCGTAGATGGTGGATGTCACCACATAGTAATCACCTGGTGGATCTCCTCCGGGTAGACCTTAAATTTGGGCATCTTGAGGACCAGGATTCTGTCCATGGTGGAGCCTTGAAGAAATGCCGCTGAGATGTCGCCCGCCCAAACGTCAGTGTCGCGGCAGGCTGCAAGGCACATGGTGGTGGCGATCATCACCTGGCTGACAGTTGGTGAGTCAGTCCTCATCTTGGAAGAGTCCTCCAAATCGCCTCTCACCACAATCCTTGATTTCATCACTGCTGGCTCTCCAATCTCAGCTTTGTTTGTTTCCACCCAGCGCGTTGGAATGGCCTTCAGCTTTGGATCCTTCTTCTTCATCTCCTGGAACTCTGCCTCAGTGATCCATTTGCCATTGGTGTACTTCTGCCAATTGGCCCATTCCTTCTCTCGCACTGCACGCATCTTCTCCTGGATGTCCGGCGGCTCCTTCTCGTAGGTGACTTCTCTGCCGGCTCCTGCTTTCGGGTTCTTCTTCTGGAATCTCCTTGTCCGGGTCGCTACTTGCTTGGCTCTCCTGCTGGCCAAGAAAGCGATCATATCCTTCTCCTTCTTCAAGGCTGTGATCTCCTCCTCTGAGTGATAGGCACGTGGGTCTCCATCCAGTCTCGCAGGGCTCACTCGCATCGCGTTCGTCAGTGGAGTAGGTTCAGATGCTTGTTGGAGTCCTGGTGGTGGTTGTGGCGGTCCCAAGGCCACAGGTGGTCCTGCAGGATGGGGGGAAGTCACTTCAGACCTGTCAGTGGTCTCCGGGCTCTCTTCCATCTCCGGTTGGCCGCTCAGATCACTGAGAATTGATGGTGGTCGCACGATGGACTCGGCAATCTCCGTAGGTGTGTTGATCTCGAAGTCGTCCATCTCGGGTTCCGGAACTGGAACGTCATGCGGCACCACCGGCTCAGCTTGTTGTGGAAGTTGTCCTGGGTTAGCAGCCACTCCAGAGTCAACTCCGTCGTTGGTCCCATCAGGGATTGGAAAATCTGCGTCCAAAATGTCCACGAAGGGTGCTTGTCCTTCATATCGTGGTCGTAGATGTCGGGCTGCATCTCCGTCCGCTGCAAAGGGGATGTAGTCCTCCAAGTAGAGCTCATCATCCTCCGCCACCAGCTCTCGTCCTCGTTTGCGACTGGGGCGCAGCTCCAGGATGTTCTTCTTGTGAATCTCCTCTGCAGATGCGGGACGGCATGATGTCTCTGGCACCAATAGTGTCACTCCTCCATGTAGTACCCAGATTGATGAAGTCCCTTGATATCCCAGCATCCTGGCTGGTCCATAGCATTTGCCCTTGCGGTGGAAGTTAAGAAGGTTTCCAACTCGGTAAGGGCCTCTCATAGGGACGCTCTTCCTCAGCAATGCCTTGCGCACCTTGTTGCAAGAGTCAACGTGGACAAAGGCCTCCTTTGCAGCCTGTCTCATCAACAGCTGCAGCATGAAGGTCTCCTGAGTAGGCGGCTCCTCCTCCAAGTCCACGAGCTTCTGATGTGCGCCCATGTTGGCATCAAAGGATTGTCCCGTGAGGCTTGTGGCATCTTCTGGAGTTTGTCCAAGGACCCATTGTGCAGGGGAATAGCCAGAGCTGTTCAGCATGACATTCTTGGTGCGTGCCGATTCTGCGCAAAGTGCGGAAATCATCTCGGCTCCCCATAGTTGTTTGTTGTGGATCGCCCGGATAATCATCTCCTTCAGAATGCCACCCTGGCGCTCGCCAGTCCCAAGTTGAAAAGCTGCCTGAACTCCTGTTCTCCTCACCTCAACGCCATGCCCTTGTAGAAGACTGTTGAGCTTCCCTCTGTTGTGAACGCCTTGATCACTCACCAACACCGTTGGGGCTCCAAAAGGGGTGATCCAAGCGAGGTTCAGGGCTTCGGCACAGACATGAGATGAGGGAGTTCCACCTCCACCTACCCGAACTGCAATGTGGTAGCGGGTAGCCATGTCCACCATGCTGAGGATTGCGTGACGGCCTCCTCTGCTGTCATGCACCTCGAACACATCGATGGACACCTCGTAGTTGAACCTGAGTTGGTGATCTGGCCGTAGAGGTCGGGTTTCACGTGGTTGCTCAACCTTCTTGACCTCGTCGCAACTGGGGCGCCTGAAGTGTTGAGCTGCCGTGATCACCTTCTTGTCCGCCATGGATGCTCGTAGAAGTCGAATGAGTGCCTGGTTGGAACAGTGGCCCATCATGGTGTGCAGGCGTCGTATGGCCACTCGCTGGTCCTTGGTGGTCTGTAGCCACCCTTGTCGTCGATCTCGTTCTTTCTGCGCGACCAGCTCGTCCTCCTTGTGCTCCTCATAGTCCTCTTCTCTGTCCAACTCATGTAGGTCAATCCTCCTTCTCTTCCATGGCATCTCGCTCACATCATCCATGTTGTTGATTGCATCCAGCGGCCCTTGCTCCTCTCGCTCTTCCTGCTCATACTCCATGGAAAAGCCCACCTTCAAAACTTGCTTGCGCAACTCCTCCTGGGCTCCATACATAATGGCAAAACAGAGATCCTCTGGCCATTGCTGCGCTCTTTTCGTCCTCTGGCCTCCTTCAAGGGGTTCATGCTCATGGCTCCTGTCGCACCGGGTCGTCAGGTACTTCTTCATCTCACCTGACGATAGAAGCATCCCGGTGGCCTTCTGATGAGGAAGTCCAGATTCTCCTTCGAGAACATACATGCATTGATCCAGTCGGCAAAGTTCAACAGGTTCTCCTGTGACTGGATGTATGAGGGGCTCCGTGTAGAGGTCCTCCATGAAGCGTAGCTTCCACAGCAATGATGGCCAAGGGTTTTCCAGCACGATCTCTCTCCCCTTCTGAATCCGTTTGCGCACCACTCCAGCAAGCCACTTGAGCACAGGGTACCAACTTTTGCGGTCCGCCATGATCTTTTCGTAGAGCTCCTCCGACTTGCTCATGTTGACGTTCTGCCAAGAACTCCAAGGTCCGCAAACGGGGCTCATAGAGAGCAGGAAGGGGTCGTCCTCCTCAATCATCTGGTCGATCTTGTCCCTGTTGGCCTTCTGCAAGAGGTCATAGCGGTTGTCGTAGATGACGTCGATGGGTGAAGAGATGTTGAAGCCCATGTGGACTGCCATGTAGCTCAATGGGAAGCATCCTTGAAGGCCTCTTGTTCTCCTTGCTCAGCGTGCTCCACAGCGCGCAGTCCTCCTTCTCCATATCTTCAAGAGTCTCCTGCAAGTGCTTCTTCTGCTTCTTGTTGAGAACCTTGACGCTGCCTTCCACTGCTGGCATGTGTCTCACCTCAGCCTCCTCAATCATCTCCTCTCGCCGCTTCTCCTCTCGCCGCTGCTCCTCAACCGTCTCTTCATCGTCAGACACGATGACATACTCCGTAGTGTCGTTGGTGTCAATCATGGCCTCATCCACAGTAGCGGTCATGGCGATGCTGCCGGGTCGAACTTCTCCAGGATGAAGACGAACTGCAGGAAGTCCATTGTAGTCCAAGAGCTCGAGCTCACGGTCCAAAGTCCTGCTGTAGGCGGTGTGCTTGCCCATGTCAATCACCAATCCCAGAGTCTTCTGTGCTCCTGAGCTAAGAAGCAACGGCGCATCGCTGTCCTCCAGCTCAATGGAAGTGATGGTGCTGGGCACGTACTCCTGGTCGAGGGTCTTCATGTGCAAGGGGATCGTCCTCTTGCACGTCACCGACACTCGTCCTCCAACGCCCTTGAATCTTCCATCGGCTGGTTCGGCTGCTGGCATCATTCCATACATCTGGTGGAATCTTGCCATCCATCTGTCACCATGGCATGTATTGTTGCAGCCAGTATCCAAAACTGCCAAAACCTTGCCATCAGGGTCGCCACCAAAGTTCACGGCGTAGGCTTCGCATCCAGATGACTGCTCCTTGCGCTTCTCTGCGTACTCGGCGTACTTGACCAATTCAGGGTCCTTGAGAGTGCAGCTCTTGAGCTTTCCGATCAACGTCTTGGTGTAGGGGACCTCGCCGACGTAGACCTCGTTGTAGGAACGTCCACGAGGAACTCCAGCGGTCAACGTCTCCTGATCCAACAACCTCGGATCTGATGTCACATAGCTTGAGCTCACAGATCCTGGTGATGGCGCTGCCACAGAAGTTGCTTTGGAAGACGTAGTCCTTGCGCTCCTTGAACGGTCTGCTGATCGTCGGTCATGGCTCCTCACCACAGACTCCTTGCACTTGTCATAGATCTTGTCCAGCTGCTGCACTGAGACATGTACGCCCAGCTCCCGTTGCACCTCCAACACATGACCCACCAGGTTCATGATCTCGTCCACCTGGTTGTCCTCGTCATCCAAAGGTGTCGTAGGCGTAGGGGTCACCGATGCAGGTGAGGGTGTCGCAGCTGCTTCACGTGCGCTCTGTCCAGGCTGTTTGCTGCCACGTTCAACGTGTCCGCACTTCTGACATGTCCACTTCTGACATGTCCACTTCCATGACGTTGAAGTAGATCCTCTATAGTCCTTGAGCTCGTGTGCGCACTCCTGCTCATCCTCTGTCTTCATCTTCTCGGCCTTGGCCAACTTCTCCTTCTCCAGAACTTCTCCACGGTCTCTGCATTTCACCTGGCGTTGGTGAGGATTAGAACCTTGCTTGGTCGTCCTCAAGTGCTGACAGACTCCACTGGGTGATGGGCTCTCCGGTGGCGGCTCCAGAAATCCTCGGGGTAGATCATGTTCTTGTTCCACTTGTCGTCGTTCTGCATCACGTAGAGCTCGACGTTGATCATCTGAAAGTCCTGAACCTGCTGAAGGTAGTTCAGGGATCTTCGGAAGTCCTTGTGCTGCCTTTGCCGCCCATCTCACCAGGTTCTGTCGGTCTTGCTCTCCAAAGAGTGGATGGCCAGGTACCATCTCCGACCATCTCTCCTGATAGGCGTCTTGCCATTCTGGATCTTGTCGATTCTCGTAGCGGGCCAGGTAGAGGTCAAGGTAGCGCATCCTCGCTTCCGAGCGCTGCCATCGATCCCCTGGTACGCTCAGCTGAGCCACCAGAACTGCGTGTTCATCTTGAAGTCGTTGTGGAAGATTGTCGGGTCGCATTGACTCCATCTGTGATCTGGCCTGTGCTTCCTTGATCATCTCGTCCAGCATCTCGTCAGCGCTCTTGTCCTCCACCTTGATCGCCATGTAGGCAGTGGAAGCGGTGGCCTTGTCGTCCTCGTACTCGTTGACCGTGAAGTACACCGTTCTCGGCTTGTCCTGGTTCTTGCCTTTGCCAGACTTGCCGCCCTTGGAGGGTGTTGTACTGGTAGTAGACGATGTAGCTCCTTTCGGTCCTTTGCTCTTGCTGCCACCTTTGCGCACATTCTTGGGGCACGCTGCATCATCGCCCCAATGTCCATACTGCCCACAGCGCCTGCATGTTGTCTTGGCTTTCATAGCTTGGATGCGGGCTTTCTTCTCCTCCAGCGTCAGGTTGCCTCTGACTTCATAGCTGCGTCCCTGAGACCAGAAACCATAATGGCCTGTCTCTTGCGCCTTCTGTCTGGCGTAGAACACCTCGCTCTCCGCTTGGAGGATGTCCGAGGCATAGTCAATGGCCTCCTGGTCGGTCTCGTCCAGGCCCTCGTCGATCATCGCCTGGAACACATGGTAGCCCGGGTCCTCATAGTCGTCGTTGTAGAGCTCCGCATCCTCTCCATAGTAGGCCGCATTGTCGTAGTCCTCATAGCCTCCCAGCGACTGGGATGCGTTCTCCCATGTGTCTTCTCGTTCATCCTCAGCGTGATGCGACCTCCATGGTGCTTTGCCCTTGTTGTAGCCCTTGTTGGATCCCTTGTTGTAGTACTTGCCCTTGCTGCTGCCTCCATGTAGTCCTCCTTGTCGATGCCTGGACTCCCGCTCATGGATACGAGAGTGTTGCGCCACCAGTTCCTCGCACACCTTCTTCCATGTGACATCTCCTCCAATGGCGGTGCGGATCAGGAGCTTGTGATCCTCGCTGAGTCCAGCGTTCTGCAACAGCTGTTCGGCCACATGCCGTCGGGCAACTTCAGCTCAAGGTCCAAGTCTGTCATCAGCCCATGCCAAGCCTTTCGTCGAAGGACGTAGCTCGGCATGCTCTCACCGTGTTGTCAGGATAGAAGTCCTCCTTGCTGCGCTCCTGCTTGGTAGAGCTCTCGGGCCTCTTGGCGGCTTCGAGGCTGTAGCATCGTCTGCATGGACTGGAGCAAGTAGTCCGGTCCTTCATCGCCAGCCAGCTTGTCCACGGCGAGGTTGCGGGCCACCTGCAAGGCAGGTCCTCTGAGACCATCTATGAGCCTGATGCCCAATGGCCCCAGCTTCTTCAGCTCCTCAGGCGCCATTGCCTTCTCACGCGCCTGCTTCAACCTCACTCTGAAGCTGTACTCGGCCAGACGTGCCGAATCGCCGTCGAATCGTGGGACGCCGCTTTTGCCCTCCGTAGATGCTGACTCGTCGTGCGTCTGCGAGAACGTGTGCCATCTAAGGCTATCCAACACCGACATGGCTCGGCAGTTGGCGGGATATGAAAAGGTGTAGGGTTGTCCACCTTGTGAGGGTCTTACCAAAGGGTTCCCCCGGAGCTTATGTGCTCCGCTACCAATGCGGAATTGGTGGCCAAAACACAAGTGAAAAAGCAAGTGCATGCAAGTTCCCAAGTGCTACTTTTACACTGCTGACAGATGTCGCTGTGCTTGAGCCATCCAGCATGGATGGGCAAAATGAAAGGGCCATGAGATGACATGCGGCAGGATGGATTTCATCTACAATGCACCATGTTGTCACTGTTTTCACAATATTCTCAACGCATAGTCTTGTAGAGCAGGTGGGGGTAACATTTTAGATAAGTTTTGACATGTCAACTTTGTTGATCAACGCATTGTTTTGCAGGGGAGTGGGGGAGGAATCCGGGAGGAATTTTGAAAAACATGACTCAACATGTCAACATTTGTCATACTTTCAACGTGTTGCTTTGTAGGGGTGGTCAAGAAAAAACAAAAAATCGCACCATATCAACTTCGATCATATTCTCAACCTCTTGTTTTGTGGGGGGAGGGGTTGCAAGTCTCAAAAAACTTAACAGGACTTATGTCAACTTTGATCATGCTCGTACTGTTTCTGTAGGGGAGATGGAAGGGAATGTAAACATGACTCAACATGACATTTTTCGTATTCAAAACGCATGGTTTTTTGTAGGGCAGGGGGGGTGGAAGTTAAAACATGGCTCAACATGTCAACTGTGTGCATATTCTCAAGGTAGCGTTTTGCAGGGGAGGGTGCGGTATCAATCTAAAATTTACAGTACCCCACATGTCAACTTGGTTCTTACTTTCAAAGTATTGTTCTGTAGAGAAAGGGTGGTAATTTCTAAAAATGTCTTAAGATGTCAACCTTGTTCATTTCTCAGCAGTTTGTTTTGTCCCGTGGGTGTAAATTTAAAAAATGATTCAACAAGTAAATTTTGTTCATATAGTTAACGTATTGTTCTGTGGGGGAGAGGGTGGGGAAAAAATCGAAAGTGACGAACATGTCAACCTCGTTCATACTTTCAATGTATTGTTTTGTAGTGGAAAGGAAGAAATTAAAACATGACTCAGCATGTCAACTTTGTTCATATTCTCAACGTTTTGTTTTGTAGGGAAGAGGCGGGGCTAAGTTCTCCACGTGTCGTTTTGCACGGGAAACCGGAAAAGGCCCAAATTGACTTAACATGTCAACTTTGTTCATAGTTTCAATGTATTGTTTGGCAGGGGAATGGAGCAGGGGTAAATTCTAAAATTGCATAGAGGTAAACTGACAAAGCGTGTCAACTTTGTTCATACTGTCAACGTATTGATTTGTAGGGAAGGGGAGGGATGAAAAATCAACATTGCCTTAGCATGTCAACTCTCTCCATACTTCCAACGTATTGTCTTGTAGGCGACCGGTGCGGGGAAGTCCAAAATTGACTCAGCATGTCACTTTCTTCATAATTGTTTTGTAGGGGAAGGGGAAAATTCAAAATTGGCTCAACACGTCAACTTTCTTCATACTTTCAACGTATTTTTTTGTAGGGGAAAGGGGGCAAACCTTGAATTTGAACAAATTTGACTTACTGTGACATGTCAACTTTCTTCGTATTTCAACGTATTGTTTTGGAAGGGAGGGGGGGTAAAGTTTAAAACTTACCCAACATGTCAACGGTTCGTTTTGTGGGGGAAGACGGGTAAGTTTTACAATTATATAACTCTATATATGTGACACGGTATTCAACGGTGATTTCTTTGCAATTTTCTGTTGGCCATGGATACCATGGATTTTAATGGTTGCCAGTGATTTGGCTACAGTTTCTGAACCGCAGTTGCTGACCCGCGTTCAGTTGCTGAACCGCAGTTTCCGGGCGTAGTTGCAGAACCGCAGTTGCTGAACCAGATGTAGTTGCTGGACCGTAGTTGCTCAACCGGGGCTCTTAATTGCTGAAAAAACGTTAGTTGCTAAACCGTACTTACGAACCTTGGTTGCTGAAGATTGCCGCAGGGGCCAGTGTTATCAACCTTGTCCCGATGAGGAACTCTGTTCATTAGATGATCGGCCTAGGATCCCTGGAGCATTGTGGGACAATCCGATGTATCGTGCAATTTTGTTTTGGCCAGGAACACTTCGATCCGGCCGACATCACCAGGCCGAAACCAGGCCTTTGTGAAGCAGGATATGTTTCAGCGCCGCCCGGCCAGGCTCCGACCTCCAGAACAGACTTCTCCTCGCCTGAAACATATCCTCAGCAACAAGTGACATGTCTTGATGGGATCACACTCCTCCAACTATCAAAATATGTCAAGTAAAGGTGCGGATTGAGGGTTGGGAGATTGCCAAGCCCCCTCTCGGCCATGTTATCTGGGGCTAGGGCTTCATGGTTTTGCGGAAGGGTGTTCTGATGGCATCTGATGGCTAGGGCATACGTTGCATACATTGCACAATGCCTTTTGGTGTTCTTCTTAGTGGTCATCAAAACTTAAACTGGCCGCGTATCTCATGGTCTTCGTATTTTCTGCAGTTGAAATACTAGTCCAAACATTCAAAAACATGCACCTCGGACAATGTTTGTGTCAATGTCAATGTTGATCTTTTGCATCTGTCCCCATCGAGCTCTTGCACGGAATTGCAGTTGCATCAAAATTTATTGAGGGTCAAACTGTCATCAACATGTTTTTCCTGCTTCTTGTGACGTGTTTATCATTCAAATATATTCAAATAGGTTCGTATGTTTGCCAAAAGAGGTTCCTTTAAAATTGCATCATCTATCCACCCACCTCGGCCGAAACAAAGGGGAACGCGCTAGGGAAGAAAAGTTTCCTAGCAACAACAGCAACAACAACAACAACAACAACCACAACCAACAACCAACAACCAACAACCAACAACCAACAACCAAACAACCAACAACCAAACAACCAAACAACCAAACAACCACACAACCACAACCACAACCACAACCACAACAACAACAACAACAACCACAACCACAACCACAACCACAACGACAACGACAACGACAACGACAACGACAACGACCACGACCACGACCACGACCACGACCACGACCACGACCACGACCACGACCACGACCACGACCACGACCACGACCACGACCACCACCACCACCACCACAACCACTACCACTACCGCCACCACAACCACAACCACAACCACAACCACAACCACAACCAACATGCAACATGCAACATGCAGCATGCAACGTGCAACATGCAACATGCAACAAGCAACAAGCAACAAGCAACAAGCAACAAGCAACAATCACAACCAGCAACCAGCAACCAGACAGCAGCAACCACCCAACCATCCACCCCCACACCACACACCACCACACCACCCACCACCCCCCACCACCACTCACCACACACCACACCACCTACCACCACCACCCCACAACACACAACCAACACAAACACAACAACACACACAACCACACACCAACAACACCACCACAACACACAACAACCACAACAACCACAACAACCAAACAACCACAACAACCACAACAACCACAACAACCACAACAACCACAACAACCAACCACAACAACCACAACAACCACAACAACCACAACAACCACAACAACCACAACAACCACAACAACCACAACAACCACAACAACCACAACAACCACAACAACCACAACAACCACAACAACCACAACCACAACGACAACGCTCCAAAGGCGGGGCTAGACGTGCAACGTATGCAACGTAAAGACATTCTCTGCATGGAGATCCCACAGGATTGCTATACAGTGATCCTGTGAGAGTTCATCTGAGGGATCCTTGAGCGCCCTGTGGCCCCACAGGATCTACAGGAATCCTGTGAGTTGCTCTGAATCCTGGGGGGACATACTGTACTTACAAAGGTCCTTGTCCTTGTATAACCTTGAAAAGGCCCATGGAGATTTTGCGAGTTACCCCAATGGATCCTTCAGAGTTCATCTGAAGGATCAACGAGCAGAGATTCTTACCCTCGCGGATCCTCAGACAGGGACCACGAAGGATCCTTGAGCAGAGACCTTGAGTTCCTGTGAAGGATCCTTGAGCATAGGCGCGAATCCCGTGACACGGTCGAAAGAGTCCTTGTGACAAGACCGCGTGGGTTTCCTGCAAGATCCTAGGACGGAAATCTTTGTGAGTCCGCGGATGGAAAGCTTCTGACTTCCTTACAGAATCTTTGTGTGGAAGAATCCAATGGTTCGATCTTGAACTGCACCGATTTGCTTGATCCATGCCCATATTGCTTGCAGATATTATCAAAACAACACTTTCTTTCATGTTGTGCTACGTACTTGTTCCGATGACTTTCTTCACTCCCTGCACTGTTTCGGGTCTCTTGCCGGAATCATTCTATCATGTGCTGTTCCTGTATCACTATGTCCTTGCAGTTGCATTTTACAGAGCCTATAGGCTTCATGAGATGAAGGCCTGATAAATCACAGCGTATTTTCGCACAAAGTGTCATTTTTGACAGGTTTGTTGGGGTGCTGCACAATGTTCTCGCAAAGGTTGAGCAAAAAGGAGCGTGACCGAGTTCCCTAGAAACTCGAGTCTGACCTAAAACACCAGAGACAGGCCCACTGGCACAATGAATGAATGAACAAACTGTTTCCAGTCTGCTGATGATTTTGATTGTCTGCAACATCTAGGTCCTAGTGATCCTTCGTAGCGACTTCGGCCAATAAAAAATGTATGATGTTTTGGGTAGGGATATTGGCAACATGACTATGGCCGACCCACTGGAGAGCTGAAACTGATCTCCGAAGTTTGCTAGTCCAGCTGTGGAATCCTCTGGAAGCCCCCTGAAGCCTTCAATACGGTTTAGAAAACGGCCCCAAGTTTCCCAGGTTTCCACAAATCCAAGCTCAATGCCACCAAGAGGCATTTCCAGAAACATTTGACCACTGCATACCGTTTCTAGCTTGGAGGCAAAGAATGCAGGGACGCAGCGAATACATCAAAATAAT